ACACGCCCTGTGAAGCAATCATGAGAAACTGGGCCCTTCAGTGAGGGTTGGTCCTAGTTCTCAAGGGACTTGCATCAGGAGTGCTTTGTAGAACGGTAGGTTTTTTACCTTTACCTCTGCAGACTTGAGTTGCCGGGTGTATACAAAGGCAGGGATGTTTTCCTCTTTGTTCTGGCCATGCGGGGAAATAACACCATTTTCTAGTACATTCAGATGTTGTAATAATAGTGATGATGACAGACTTGTTATGCACTTTGTTTGGAGTTTAAGGTGGCAGTAAGCTCTTTTTTTGAACATATAGGATATTTTCCAACTTTCTACCTTCAGATGGTTCTTGGGATGTGATGAGCGTTATGTGTCTTCCACTTGTTAGCACCAACACAGGTTTCTGGCTGTCAGTGCATTGAGCTGTGGCATGCAGAGGAGAAAGGGTTATCAGAAACACAGTGGAGTTTACTGGTTGTCACTGGGCTAATGGGGTGCAGTCCAGCTTCAGTCTGAGTCTTCTAATTTTAATTTGTGTTGGGAGTCTTGGGGAGAGGGAGGGTGAAACTACAGCAGCTGGTTAGCAGCAAATGTTGCCCTAAGAGTGAACAGTGCTGACTTCCGGCTGCAACTTCAGTTGCCAGGCAAAAAAGTATAGTTCAGCTGAAGTAGCATGAGCCAGGGCAAGCCAATCTAGGAACTAATTTGACACCCAGCCACCCCATCAAGAGAAGCCACTTCCTTTGCAGCTATCAGAGCAACAGGTGATTTCATAGCACAAATGCTTTTTAAATCAGGTATTTGGTATTCTGATCTGAGTTTCTTTCATGACTCTACTTTTTCCTTTGTGTTTGACTTCTTAGCTGCCCCTGCACATGGAATGTAACCTTGAAAAATATTTATATCGTAGCTGTCTGTGGCACTGATTGTCAGGGGAAGGCATGTTTCAGAGTATGCATGTGATCTTTTCATCTGTTCCCCACAGCTGCTACTGCAAATGTCTTATTTTCTGTCTGTGCAGCTGTTTCTGTATCCTGAAATCTACATCTTTTTCCTTTCCTTGGTTCTCTCCTGCGCAGGTAACCTAGCCAGAGAAAGGACTCTAAGCTCTGTCTTCTTCATTCTTTTCTCACTCCTTTTCTCTGTGCCAGATTGGAGCTGGACAGTTTCATCCTTTACATGTAAGTGTGATCGGTGCTTCTGTTTGTTCACTGAAACACATCTGTGTCTGTTTCAAGACTAAGACAAAAGCAAAGCCATGGTCTGGGAGCTTTAGATGGCTGGTGCATTCTCTTAAAACGTTCCTCTCCCTGGTTGATACAGTGTTGGTTCTGACAGTATGCTAAAATGCAGGTTTTTCCAAATGTCAAAGCAGTGTCCTGGGATTTGTTCTTATCTGCTGTCAGCCGGCTGCATGACCTTCACCTTTCTGCTTTTACATGGTCACAGAGACTCTAGTATCTGTCCTTAGTGCTCATTAACACTGCTGAGTGGAAGAGGACCGGAGAAACGCAATGCTTTTTCTGAAAAGGAGTAGAACAGTTACTTGTCCCACAAATAATGGGAAAAATTTTGAGGGATTTTCCTTCCAGTGACCCTTTGAACTTTCAACATAGCAGGAGAGTGGGGAAAGATACCAAAAAGTTCTGGCAACAGACAGGAGCCAGTACATCCAACAGGCTTGTCAAAACCAATCCTGGAGATCATTAACTTTACCTGGCTTCCTGCCAGATCTTCCCTTGAGTTCAAAAACTTCCTGCCTGGTGCTGTTGGAAAGCCCTAACCCTGACTCGAAGCAAGCAGAGTAGAATCAAATCCTGAAATCCTTGGAAAGGTGCTAGCCGCAAAGTGCTTGCACATTAAGTAAATGAGGACTATTAGTTGCAGAGCAGAAGTGTGGAGAGCTTGCCTTGGGGTATGCCAAGCACGGGCCATGCCTGCAGTCACTGCTCGGCACTCGTGAGGTTAGGTCTCTGGCTCCCCGCCACCAGCCAAGGTGCTTGTTTGTAGTGAGGGCCGGGCTTGTGAGCTCTTCCCTTCTCCTGGAGCCGTTGGCTCTGCGGTGCCGGAGCACTGCCCTCCCGCGGCGCCCCGAGCAACTGGCAGCAATGTGCGCCTGGATCTGCTCTGACAGGTTCAAAATCCCACGTGCAAATCAAATTCAGCTGGCTTTGCAGTCAATCTTTTCACTAAGGCCGTAACTCTGTAAAGCAGATCTGGATCTCTGGGCTGAGATGCTCCTTCTGTTCTGGAACAGTTGCTGGATTAGGTAGTTGTCTTTGTTTTACAGCCCACTGCCCAAACAGGCTTTTGTTCGTGAATGAGTTCTCATGTATGAACCACGAGCTGTGAAAATCAGAGGCACTTTGTGCAGACAGTAATGGAATAAATGTAGCTGGTTAATTTTTAAAATATCAAACCCCCTCCCTGTAGGACAAAATGTTCTCTCTAAAAACTGATATATACACATGTTTTTTTGTCATCATACCTGCTGCTGATTATGGTGTGAAAAGTTTTTGGATTCAAAACAAATTTGTTGTTTGCAAAAGTGGCCTTTAACCAACCTAAAATGCAGCTCTTGGAAGACAAGAACAACCAAAGATCTATAGTGTCCTCTGATCTGGTGAGAGCCATAAAAAGTGTAGTGCTTTCACAGATGTACAGTGTTTGGAAAACAGAATTTGTATTTCTAAATTATCATTTTCAATGTCTGTGTCTTGCATTTTGTATGTGATGACAGGTTCCTCCTTGTAAGTTTGAAGTGATTCAGGATCAAATGTATAAGGTAACTAACTGACTGAAGCTGGTTAATCACAAGGATACAACCTTCTAACTACTGTTTTCTGTGTATTTTTCAACTTCCCTTCTCCCCTTTCCACTACAAAATTTCATTTGAAATGTTTAGGTATCAAAAGATGACCGCAGTGATGTAGAGAGCAGCTCTGAAGAGGAGGACGTGACTTCCAACAACACAAAAGGAGTTTTCAGCACTTCGAGTAACGGCTCCAACCGCATTAATGGCCACGTGGCTAGCGGTCAGTGGACAGAAGAGGAGTAAGGCTGTGGGTTGGCCTTGAGCAAACACGAACTTATCTTTAAATATCTAGATGTGTTGAGCTCCACATTCCCAAGTGATCTTTAATCAAGATACCCCTTCCCCAGAAACCTCCTGCAAATCTGAAATGGGCACAATCCAGACCAGTCAGAGGCTTTGCACAACAGAAGGGATAAAGCCAATGACTAGGGCAAAAACAAAGCTGCAGATTTCACTTTAAGCCATTTTGTACTTAAATCTTAGCCCCATCGATATTTGCGGAGGTATCTTTGTTTGTCACAAACTGGTTTTTACTAGGATCAACTCAAGGTGGAACAAGTTTGGCCTAGGCTGGCTGCTGACCGCAGGAGGGTTACGGTGCCATTTCAGTGACGGTTTGCTCCAGTGCAGGGTCAGCAGATCTCCTTGATGCACTCCAGAAGCCACTTCAGAGCACTGAGACCACAGGGGCCCGTGGCTCCAGAGCCCAGCTACCCTGGTTGTGGCAGAGACTTTCTCAGTCCTGCTGGGAGTGCTCCGGACTACAGCCCAGCTTTGAATTGGACTGTGCTACAACTGAAATGTCACTCTACCTTGCCATTGGGGTGCTATATGCTAAGGAGGTTATAGCTTATATCTGCTGTCACGAGGGACCAGGCCAGCGTCTGCTGCCTATTTTGGTGCTGCAAGCCCCTCTGAAGTCTTGACTACAGCCTTCTGAAATGGGGGAGGGGGGTGGTTTATTGCCCCTGAGACAACTATCACAAAACATGCCTTTTAATTTTTTTTTTTTTTTTTCTGTAGCAAGTTGTGGTTTTGAAGACTTTTCTAGCCCTACTGGCTCCAGTTGGCCAAGCTAAGACTTGAGGGCAGACCAGTACTGGTGGGCTGTGTTTAACTTTCCACAGAATAAGATGTTTCAGTCCTGCTTGTCTGTACTCCAAGGGAGAAGTGGACATTGCTGCTCTGATTTTGCAACTGGGCAGAGGAATCACTGGGCTGGAAAGGCAGCCGCACCATGGGCTTTGCTTCTTTATTTTTACTCAATGGTACTTGGGGGCAATGGAAGACCTGTGTGTCAATCATGAGCAGAATTTTGGAAACTTCTTGAGTTGTTACCGTTTTATACCATTGTTTACTCTTATTTCCGATTAAAAGATGCTTCAGAAACGTGGCTGATGTGATTCATCTTTAGAAAATAAGGAGACTGTAGCCCCCGTTTCTATGATTCTGGGCTTCTGAGAAGCACCTTTTTGAGGTCAGGAGGGCCTGGGTTCGGGCAGACACCACGCAGCACCGCACTCGGCCGTTTCCACACGTTTTTATTGTGTTCCGTCTCCTCCCCCAGCCCGGTGGGCCGTCCCTTGCCCCTGCTCCAGCCGGGAAACGCGGTACCGGGTGCCAGGCCG